GTGTGGGCTCTGGACTACTGAAGAGCACCGGACATGAGTTGCTGTCCGACAATGAGTTGATTTCGCAGTTATTCGCGTCACTCAACGGTGGCTTCGCTTCGGTCGCCTTTGCGCTGGCCTTTTGCTGCCACGAGTTGGCACTCAATGCGGACATTCAGGATCGACTGCACCGGGAAGTGACCGATGATCTGCCGCCGATGGACGCCATCGATCACAACAATTACAATTTGGTGTTGAAATTGCCATTTCTGGACGCAGTGTTGGCCGAGACTATGCGACTGCACGGCCCGTCTCTGCGTCCCTCGCGGGTCACCGGCAAAGACTATCGGTTGGCCGACACCGGACTCACACTCGAGAGGGGACTCATTGTGGAGATCTCGGCCTACGCTATGCAACGGTCGGACGATTTGTTTCCATTGGCCGACCAATTCATTCCCGACAGGTTTGCGGCCGACAATCGCCACCAAATCTTGCCCTTCACTTACAACCCGTATGGGACGGGACCGCGCGGTTGTGTGGGCCAGACCTTTGCCCAACTGGTCATGAAGTCGGCCATCGCTTATCTGGTCCGCCGGTTTCGGTTCTCGATGTGCGCCGACACTCAACTCCCGGTTCCGCTCAAGAAATACATTCGCATACAATTGGCCGAAACCGCATACCTGGCCGTTGAGCCCCGCGACTGAAGTACATTAGCTGTAGTTGTTTATAATGTTTTACTGTAGGTTTAAGATAGTATTTAATCAAGAACAATTATCAAATAAAAATGAAAATGTAATTATTGACAATATAAAGTAATTTACTTTATCAGTATAAATACTTGGTTGTGTACTAATAAATTAATGTTATTATTTTACCACATTTTATTAATTTATTTGATTTAAGTGCACTGTAAAGTGCTTTACATCAATTAACGTTTATAACATTCAACATGTATGCCGTGAACATAGAAGGGAACTTTGGGACCGTTTGGGTCCCAATTGTGGGCCAACTGGTCGTAGGCGTGAGGGTTAAGAGCAGTCGCGTCCGGACGTAACGCGATGTCAAACATTATGTTTCGCATGAATGCAAACAATGGGGAAGTTTTGTCCGCTATTTGGAAAGCGGGACCGAATTGCATCGGACCACTCGTGTCGGCTGTAATATACAATTAATATGGTTATAATTAATAAATTTACAATAATTAAGCTTAAACACATTGTTCTATTAATTTTACTAATAAACAAAGTGTTTAATACGTAAAGGTTTACATATTGAATCATTTTATTTTAATAATTATTTTTAATATTAGCAAAATTTGTTGAATAGTTAATGAAAACATACATTTGATGGCGTATTGGTTGACACGACTTGTGTGCAAAACCACATTTATTTTCAATACATGTAAGCCATTGTCCGAACACGCGGTCCGTATTTCATCCAATTGTTGCGATTCACTCTTAGTTTGCAACTATAAACATGTGTTAACTAAAACATATTTATTTTATAATTTTATTACTTACTTGTATATTGTATTGTCGTATTTGTTCGCTTGTCAACAATGACTTGACATCCGGAGTGCGAACATAATTGGCCACAAATTCCCCGTTTTTGGCCAACAGTTTGCTCACGACATGCATTAGTCGGCTCTTATCCGGAAACCAATGGATCACAAAATCCGATACAATTAGCGATACCTTAGACTCCAATGCCTTCAACTCAGGACTCAATGAATCCCAGGATTGGCTCAAGTCTTGGACCAAATACTGGA